TCCTGGGCCACGAAATACTCCCCACAATGACCTTTGAGATATTCTTCCTGTCTCTCAAATTTCACAGGAGTGAATGTTTCCTTTAAAAAAGGTTGGTGGGTAGGAGTCTGCATATGCATTGAGGGCAGAAAAATAATCGTGCCTTTATTTTTGAGGTATAGACCAAAGCTTGTACACATATTTGGTAGGACTCATTCTTCATTCTCCCACCTTGGTACTCTAAACATCTGTCCTGATGCTTTACCTCCTCAGAAAACCAACGAAGAGTATAAAATCACTCAAGTGCCATTCTATCCAAGGCATTGATGTAACCTTCATTTCAGAAAGCAATTAAGATCCAATCCAAACTGTCTACTAGACACTCATGGAATTCCTCAAACGCCTTCTGGAAAACAGGCATCATCGGGCAATGCGGGCAATGCAATCTAATAATCCCTTTTGTAGAAAGAGGGGGGCAACACAACAAGGAACAAATGCCTTGTCACCCACTTCAAATCATGTCACCTCTGCTCTAAGACAAAAAAACAGATCAAATATGTAACAACCTATGTGAGTCAGGTCCTCAATAATCTGGAACAGGCCACAAATTCCCAAGCTACATGGATTGAAATTCTCCAGAACTATCAGTCTAGGGAAGATTTAATCACCATCCTGGCAATGACATTAAAGAGTTCAGGCAAAGAATTTGTTAAGCAGCAAGAGAATCTGGTGCTCCAGCAGCAATCTCACCTGCTCCCTTATTCTGCACCCATCTTTACATTTCCAAGAAAGGAACAACGTTGTGCTCAACCAGATTTGGTAATTACCGCTACAATGATTCTCTCGTGGATGAGGAAGGACTTATTATAGGCCAACCTGACATTAAGCAGAAATCACCAGAGCCCAGAGACACTAAGAATCTGATGACCTGAAACTTGGGCTCAGAACTAGGATGCAGATTTAGCGAAGTGGGGCTCAAAGTAAGAAACAAAACCTCTCCTTCTTAGAAATGGTCCATTCCCTCTCCCAACACATCTTCATCTGCACAATTCCATCAAAATTCTCCTGCAATTCCCACAAATACATAACACATGCGAGTTTCTACAGTGAAATGCCTCAATTCAATCGGGTGTCCTCCAGATTTGTTTATAGTTTTTATGTATAAGTCCACCCCAACACAAAAAAGATTTTGGACATTTGTTCAGACAATATTGATTTAGTTGATATTATGGCTTCCAGCACTTCCCAAATTAGCAATCCAGAAATCTTTTTGAACCAATTGTCATATCAAACAATAATAAGCCAACTATAGTGAATATTATCTCCTTTTAGGAACAATAACTTCATAGCTTCCTTTCCTATTTCTACCATGTACTTGCCTACCTTCTATCTTCCCACCACTGATCCTGCTTTAAAGCTCCCCTCCCAAACTTGAGTTCTGGTTCTCTTTCCTCTAAGTGTTTGTTTTCTGTTAAAGAAAAAAGGAAAATACCTGCATACGGTGCCAGCACATTCATCACCTCAATTCGGTCAATATAGATCATGACACCACCACTGCAAGAAGATAAGGAGAAAGCTCTTCCTTCATTGCACACACATATTTGCATGGTTAAAAACTATCCAGTTTGTGCTTTTGTAACAAGACAACATCTCTGGTACACTCAGTCCACAAGATCAGGATTATAAACTACGTCCCTCCAGGACTATAAACTATGTTCCTCCAACTTTTGCAGAATTTTTGTTTGTCTTTGTGAGATTGGTCTTTGGAAGGAAGGCTGAAACCCCTCATCACACACCTCAGAACTGTTCAGTAAGAAGGCTGCATTATAAAAATTACTTCCTTTTTTTCCATTTTTACCAAAGAGAAGATTTAACACCTTCTATTCTTCCACCCTGTGGCTCAACCATTCTATTACACATCTTAGTGGTATATTTCCCAACTAGGCCAGAAACACACAATACAAACTACAAAAAAAACACATACCTTGTCCCACAAGGCACATTTTTCACTTCATCTGTCTGCAATGTTGTCTGGAAAAAAAAACATTGATCAGCAAAGACATTGCAGGATGTAACATTTATTAACTTAACAATTATTATTGTCATTTTGGAAACAAACTACATTTCAGGAATATTCTGCTTTTTTTCTGAGAAACAACTTCTAAAACTTCAGTCCCACAAAGTGACAAGTGCTCCAACTACCACCTCCAATATCTAGCAGGAATTCTAGTTCATTTTTAGCATGAGATTGAGATCAAGAAACTGGGGTGATGGAAATATTTTAAAAATTATATTAAGATTTTCCCCCCATAGAATAAAAGATAGGAAAGCACAGGATGGGAAGAATTTAAAGTTTAAATTATCACCAGATAATTACAACCTTCCTATAGATAATCATCGACAATGGAGCCTGCCCATTATTGCCATATGTTGTGATGGTTGTAAAACAGTCATCATGAGACCAACCCAATTTTAGGATCTTTTTCTGGTGATCCTTTTTTAAGCAAATGTGGCATTTACAACACTGTGGTTGTAAAACTAATGCCACAGTCATTATATCGGCCAATGGTTCCCTAAGTCTATGATTTTGCTGAAAACTGGCACTGTCAGTTTTTTAGAAAACCATTGCAAAACATGGTCATGTGACTGCAGGACATTGCATAAGGCCGTAAATGAGGCTGTGTTGGCAAACTCTTGACAGAACTTTGAATCAGGGTCAAAAGTCCCTTTCTCTGGGTCAGCTATAACTTTAAATAGTCACTAAGCAACTGATCATACATCCAGATATCATTCCCCCCCCCTTAGATGTTATATAACCTATCATTTAATCCAGGGAAACAGGGGAATTGCTAATAAGGAACTAGCTAAATTGGTATTTTTTCTTCAATGCTTCTTTTTTATCTTCAATCAACTAGCAAGATCAAACATGCAAATGAGAGGTATAAGCTTATTTATAAATATTTATCTGTACGCAGCATTAGCCATTACCTACTTCTAGTAACATATTAACCTATGGTGGATTTTTAATAGTGGCAGGATACCATAGCAAGTATCAAAACATGATTCATATTCTCCCCTGACACTATCTGTATGCTGTATGGAAGACAAAGGCACTCCTTATATCACCAAACCTCTTTTCCCTCCCTTTATTGTTTTCCGCCCAAGGCAGTTACACAAACCTGTACTGTTCTGTAAGTTGTGAGAATTGGGAGCATGATGTGATAGCCTGGTCCACTCAGGGAAGAGAGCAGTGCACCTCCTCTACAATAAATTATATACAAAAAAGAAAGCAAATAAGCATGAACTAACATTTGAGAAGACAACTTTCTTATAAAACAACAGCCACAGCAAGCATTTATTTCACTTGTCCAGCTCATTTTCCTAATACTATACTCCAGTGGTTCAGAACAGAATAACAGAATTGGAAGGAACCTTGGAGGTCTTCTAGTCCAACCCACCACTCAAGCAGAAGACTCTATACCATTTCAGACAAGTGGCTGTCCAGTTTCTTTTTAAAAGTCTCCTCTGGTGGGGCACCCACAACTTCTGAAGGCAAGCTATTCCCCTGATTTATTGACAGATAGCTGAAGATTAGAGATAAAGACAAATTTACAGGCACACAATATTTACAAGTTGCCTTCTGCATGCAGCCAACTTAATCTGGCTCTAGGCCTCTTCAGGAGTAGAGCAAAACAAGAGTGCCAGTGTTGTTTCACACCTTTTCAGGAACAAAACAGGACAAGCTGCCCTTTATTTCTGAGATAAATATTGCTGGATGGAACCCCGTTTGTTCCAAGACAGTGTTTCCCAACCTTAGCCATTTTAAGATGTGTGAACTTCAACTCCCAAAACACTTCCTATTTTGAGAGTTGAAGTCCACATATTTTAAAATGATTAAGATTGGGAAACACTTATCTAGGACAACTTTTTTCCATCTGGGACCATGCACAAGTATTTTGGATCACAACAGTGCATTTTGGGTTCATGCATCGTGCCAAGTTACCATGTATTTTGTTAACCATGGATCGACAAGGCTATGAACCCAACCCATTGAAGTTGCTTTAAAAGTACAGTTAAATAAACCAGGACCAAGCACCACTACACACATAGCCTCTGAATCACAACAGCGAGGTTGGCATTATAAGTTGTAGTCCTAACACTACCCAAAGAACTAAAGTCGGGCGGTGGGGGTGGGGACCTTCTGCTTGCTCCGAAGAAAGGCTCAGATCAGGGCAGCTGGTCAAGCACAAGTAGTCCTCGACTTACAATAGTTCATTTAGTGACCATTCAAAGTTACAACGGCACTGAAAAAGGTGACTTATGACCATTTTTCACACTTATAACCGTGGCAACATCCCCATAGTCATATGATTTTGGATGCTTGATAACTGGTTCATATTTATGACGGTTGCAGTGTCCTGGGATTATGTGATCCCCTTTTGCAACTTACTAACAAGAAAAGACAATGGAGAAGCTAGATTCACTTAACAACAGTGTTACTAATTTAAAAACTTCAGTGATTCACTTAACAACTGTGGCAAGGAAAGTCGTAAAATGCGGGCACAACTCACTTAACTAATTTCTCACTTAACAACATCAATTTTGGACTCAATTGTGGTCGTAAGCTAAGGACTACCTGTATTGCCAGATCCAGAGCGAGGCTGGCACCAGGCTCTCTACTCAGGGGTTTCTATCATCTGCCCGGGGAAGGAAGGAGGCTTCTCAGCACTGAGAAGAGAGCGACCCAAGCCACACGAAGGATTCCGTCGCCAGGACTCACCTGTAGTAGACAGCCAGGTGTCCCTCCTCCACCTTGTGGACCGAGGCCCAGAGCACCAGCGACAGCAACAGGCCGGCCGTCACTGCTACTGAAACCGCCGGTCCGCGCCTCCGGCTCCTGGTCAGAATCTCGCTGCCGCTTCCAGGCATCCTCCCGCCGCTCACAGCCCGCAAACGGCCCCGCTGCCACCGCCACCACGACGTCGCCGCCGCCTCTCCCGCCGCTGCATCTAACAAAACGGAACGGACTCTCCCGCCTCCACTCGCGTCCTTCGCGATTCCGGCGGAGCAATTTGCTTGTGACACAGCGTCCGAGAAGGCGGGCGGAAGCGAGGCGCCGCGGTTGTGATGGCGCCGGAGAAGCCTTTGCGCCTGTGAGGAAAAAGGGCGAGAGGGGAAGAGGGGTGGTCAGGGAGTCCCTTTACTTTAAAAATCAAGGTCCTGGTCTTAATGGGAATGTAAAGAAGGCCGCAAAGGACTGAGCTTTACTTCCTTTCTCCAGAATCCACTGGTCGTTTGGAAGGGTGGCAGTTTAATAGCAGCGTTTCTGATTTGAGGATCAAAAGATCCCAGGTTTGGTCTCCATTTGGTGCTCGAAAACTGACTTAAAAATCTTGGCAGCTGCTGCAGAAAACCAAGCGAGCTGGGTGGCGAATGATGTGGTTCTGGAGCATAGTAGCCACACCTGGCCAATCCCTTCATTTGAAGTTATTAAAGATGGAGGAGCCCACGCTTTTCTTGGGCTCTGGCTACCTGGGGAATGGAGATATTTCCTGAGTTCTCTGGCTCACATCAGTGCATTTCTTCAAAACAGCCACTCAAGAACCCTTTTATCAGTAGTTTTGTAGATTATTTTACCCCCAGGTTTCCCTGTCATAGTTTGTTGATTCAGGGGCTCTTTCTCTGCTTGAGACATGCTTGTTTCTTTCCTTAGGTTGGCCTGTGGAGATGTAGAAGGAAAATTTGGAGCTTTATATTCCAGAGTTCAAGCTGTTCAGAAGAAAAGTGGAGCATTTGATGTAAGTTTGCTCCATAGGATAATATCCTCAAGCACAGAAGCTTCAGAATGCAAAATGTCTCTATCTTATATAGTCTTCCAATCTGTCTCAGTACCTGCCAAATGAGGAATCAGTTCATTGTTTATGTCAGCACTGGATTCTCTTCTTTTTCCAATCACTACTTCATTTATTCCACCGTCTAAAAAATCTGAGAAGCTTCATAGAGAAGGTGGAATCTGTCAGACCAGCAATGGCAATTCCACTAATGGAATGATACGACGGGATACTGGCATTTCATGTAACTGATCAAAACCCCTTGCTACAATATGTCATGATAATGATAGTTTTTTCAGACTGCACAGGGCTATTTAGTAATAGTAATAGTAGTAAAGTTGGAAGGGACCTTGGAGGTCATCTAGTCCAACCCCCTGCTCGGGCAGAAAACCCTACACCATTTCGGACAAATGGCTGTCCAGTCTCTTCTTAAAAACTTCCAGTGTTGGACCATTTATTGCTTCTGGAGGCAAGCTGTTCCACTGATTATTTGTTCTCACTGTCAGGAAGTTTCTCTTTAGTTCTAGGTTGCTTCTCTCCTTGATTAGTTTCCACCCGTTACTTCTTGTGCTGCCTTCAGGTGCTTTGGAAAATAGCTTAATTCCCTCTTCTTTATGGCAGCCCCTGAGATATTGGAATACTGCTATCATGTCCCCCCTTGTCCTTCTCTTCGTTAAACTAGACATACCCAATTCTAGCAACCGTTCCTTATATGTTTTAGCCTCCAGTCCCCTAATCATCTTTGTTGCTCTTCTCTGTACTCTTTCTAGAGTCTCAACATCTTTTTTACATCGTGGTGACCAAAACTGGATGCAGTATTCCAAGTGTGGCCTTACCAAGGCATTGAAGAGTGGTATTAATACTTCACGTGATCTTGATTCTATCCCTCTGTTAATGCAGCCTAGCACTGTGTTGGCCTTTTTGGCAGCTGCAGCACACTGCTGGCTCATATTTAAGTGATTGTCTACTAGGACTCCGAGGTCCCTCTCACAGTTACTACTATTGAGCATGGTGCCACCTATGCTGTACTTGTGCATTTGGTTTTTCTTGCCTAAATGTAGAACCTTCTTTTTTCACCATTGAATTTCATTTTGTTAGTTAGTGCCCAGTGTTCAAGTCTGTCCAGATCCTTCTGTATCTTAAGCCTGTCTTCTGGAGTGTTGGCTATTCCTGCCAGCTTGGTGTCGTCTGCAAATTTGATGAGTTCCCCATCTATCCCTTCATCCAAATCGTTGATGAAGATGTTGAAGAGTACTGGGCCCAGAACAGAGCCCTGGGGCACCCCACTACACACTTCCCTCCATATAGATGCAGTTCCATTGAGGACCACTCGCTGAGTACGGCCGGTCAGCCAGCTACGGATCCATCTGGTGGTGGTTCTGTCTACCCCACATTTTTCTATCTTGTCAAGTAGTAGGTTGTGATCTACTTTATCAAATGCCTTACTGAAGTCCAAGTAAATTATGTCCACAGCATTCCTCTGATCCACTAATTTTGTCACTTGGTCAAAGAATGCAATAAGATTTGTCTGGCATGATCTATTTTTGACAAACCCATGTTGGCTTTTAGTAATGACTTTGTTTGCCTCTAGGTGTTCGTTGATTCGTTGTTTGATTATCTTTTCCAGGATCTTCCCAGGTATTGAGGTCAGGCTGATAGGTCTGTAATTTCCTGGATCCATTTTTTTTCCTTTTTTGAGGATGGGAACTACATCAGCTCTTTTCCAGTCCTCTGGTAGTTCCCCTGTGTTCCAGGATCTTTGAAAAATATAGTTCAGTGGCTCCGATATCACATCTGCCAGTTCCTTGAGAACTCTGGGGTGTAATCCATCTGGTCCTGGCGATTTGAACTCATCTAGGCTGGACAGGTGCTCACTAACCATTTTCTTGCCTATCTTAACTTGTGTTTCTGTTTTGTTTTTTATGGCACTATTTTTGATAGGTTGGTCTGTTTTTTCCCTTTGTGTAAAGACAGATGCAAAAAATGAGTTAAATAGTTCTGCTTTCTCCCTGTTGCTTGTCACCTTCTTGCCACTTCCACCCACTAATGGACCAATCATTTCCTTCACTTTTTTCTTGTTTTTTACATGTTGAAAGAAGCTTTTTTTGTTATTTTTGACTTTGGTCGCAAGCCTTAGTTCATTTTGAGCCTTGGCTTTCTTCACTTCATCTTTGTAGGCTCGGGCTATTTGCTGATATTCTGACTTAGTTATGTTCCCCTCTTTCCACTTTCTATACTTGTCCTTTTTATCTTTCAATTTGTCAGAGAGTTCTTTATGCAGCCATGCTGGTTTCTTTTGAGAGCTGTTGTTTTTCCTCTTTGTTGGTATTGTGCTAGACTGTGCTTTTATTATCTCATTTTTCAAAATTTCCCAAGCTTCTTGAGTTGTTTTCCCCTTGAGGATTCTCATCCATGGAATCCTTCCCAAGCCCTCTCTAAGTTTATTGAAATTAGCTCTCTTGAAGTCTAAGACTCTAGTTTGACTGTGTTCTATTGGTTGTGCTTCTATAATGTTGAATTCTAATATTGCATGATCACTTCCTCCCAGGTTCCTATGGCTTCAACACCGTCTATCATTTCATCTCTGTTAGTGAGAATTAGATCCAAAATGGCTAATCCCCTAGTTCCCTTCTCTACTTTTTGGGAGACAAAGTTGTCTGCTAGGTTTGCCAGGAACCTGTTTGATTTTCCACTTGGTGCGGAGTTTGTCTCCCAGTTGATGTCAGGGTAGTTAAAGTCCCCCATTACTATTGTGATGTGCTTCCTACATACCTTAGTTAGGTGACTAGCAAAAAGTTCATCTATTTCCTCTGTTTGGTTGGGTGGTCTGTAGTATACACCTATGGCAATGTCATTCCCCCCCCCTTTTATATTGACCCAAATGCATTCAAGACAGTTTTTATCATTGTTGTACTCTATTTCTGTGGAGATGTAGTTATTTCTTATATAGAGAGCAACTCCACCTCCTCTTTTATTTGGTCTGTTTCTTTTAAATAATTTAAATCCCTCTAGCTGTGTGTTCCATGTGTGGGTTTCATCCCACCATGTTTCCGTAATGGCAACAATATCGTATCTGCCCTCATTAACCTGAATTTCTAGTTCACCCTGTTTGCTGTTCATACTCTGTGCATTGGTGTATAAACATTTGAGTCCTTTGTGGGTGGCCCTGTGTTTCCTTTCTACATAACCTGTGTGGTGCCTGAGTTCCCCTATTGTCTTACCACCTATTTGGTTAGTGCACTTTATGTGACACTTGCTATTAGAGGCTTCATTTTACTTGATAGCAAGGTTGGTATTCTTGTCCACACACACATCTATGCTACATGCACTGATAGCCCTATAGTTTTTAAATTGCCGGGGACAGGGTTGTTCCGTATCAATTAACTCCCTGTCCCCGCTGTTTAGTTTAAATTTCCCTCCAGAAAATCTGTGAATTTATAGCCGAGTAACTCAGTCCCTTTTTTTGATGGATGCAAACCATCTCTTTTGTACATCTTTTGATTGGACCAGCTACTAACATCGTGACTAATATATCCAAAGCCTTCCCCTTTACACCACTCCTTTAGCCACATATTGAATTGTGCTATGCGCTGGCCTTTTCCGTTTTGCTCCTTATACACTGGTAAAACCTCTGAGAAAGTAAGCCTACAGCCTATTCTGCTAAGTTCCTTCCCCAAGCTCTGGAAATCATTCTGCACAGAGAGTACATCTTTTTGGGACAGATCATTAGTGCCAAGATGTACAATAGCCTCCACATCACAGTCCTTGCTGCCATTCTTGATTATTTTAGAAATACGCTTCTTGTCCCTACTGGCAGTAGCACCTGGAAGACACCTGACCTCTTTCAAAGCCTCTGTGTCCTTTCCTAAATTTACATCCCTTATAATTGAATCACCTACCAGAAGGTAGCTTCTCTTTTTGGGAGCCTTTCTATTCTTGCATGACTGATGTGCAATACCTGATTCACACTTCTCCCTGTCAAAATCTAGTTCTTCATCTCGGACCACAATCCCCTGCTTATTTGAGTTATCTTCACAAATACCTTTACCTGTCTCCTTAGTGTCCCTATTAAGGTCAGCAAGGGCACTGTAACTGTTGTGCAGGGACACAGCAAAAGCTTTGTGTTTATGGTTCACAGCTCTCACCCTGCCAGATCCCACGGTTGTCCACACTGCCCTTTTCCTGCAGGATCTTTGTGGTAAAGGAGGCTGATAGCACGGAGGCTTACTAGAGTAGAGGGGCTGAACTGGACACCTAATTTCTGCCCGAAGAGCACGGATTACAGACCCTAGGTAAATGATCTGTCCTTGTAGGCTAGTGATTTGTTTACAGATAGGACAGTTTCCAAGTTTGAAAAGGGTAGTGCGAAAGACAGCTGCAAAACAGGTGTTGCACTGAACTAAGCCAGACATCTTAGATACAGGGGATGTCAGACACACTTGCCCTGAATGTACTGCTACTGTTTGTGCTTTTTAGTTATATAATTAGCGCGCCATCAGGCGCGCGGGCCGCTACTTTCCTGGTGGATTCTCCCAAAACTTACAGATTATGCAGCAGCTGATGCAATGTAGCACGTTCCAGCAGCCCAACCGGAGTTGAAATGGGGTTTAAATAGAGTATAATACACTATAAATATAATGGAGATCCAATCAGGGCCTCGCTACTTTCCTGGTGGATTCTCCCAAAACTTACAGATTAAGCAGCAGCTGATGCAATGTAGCACGTTCCAGCAGCCCGACCAGAGTTGAAATGGGGTTTAAATAGAGTATAATACACTATAAATATAATGGAGATCCAATCAGGGCCTCGCTACTTTCCTGGTGGATTCTCCCAAAACGTACAGATTTAGCAGCAGCTGATGCAATGTAGCACGTTCCAGCAGCCCGACCGGAGTTGAAATTTGTATCACTTCATTAGATTAAACTATTTTTAATCCACTCAATAGTCCAAATTCTCTAGGCAAATTATAGCTGATTTAAAGTATTATGATAAAACAATGAAAATAGTGCACCACTTTAAAAGAAACCAGCAGAATGAATTATGGAGAAAATACACAAATAAAAGTATATTAAAGCTATCCTTGTTGAATTCATCATCTTTGTTTCTGCTTTAAAAGAATATTTCACTATGTCATCTCAAAATTGTATTCATTTTTATACTTTTACACTATTTTAACCCAAACATTTGTCAGCATTTTGTTCATATAGATATTTCAAGTTATTACCTTAATTGAACTCTTGATCTTAAAATTAGCTTTTTATGACTGAAATTGCTAAGAAGTAAAATTTTTATATCTTTCCTGAAGGGGAGAATATTTAAATAAGCAAATGTGCACCTTAGCTCCTTTCTTTTTTAAAATTCAACCACATAGTACTGATAAACAATGGCCTTGCTGAAATATCCATGAAGACCATTGTGATGTCCCAGATTGAGCAGGCAAATGTATAGATCAGGGAGCACTTTAAAGATGAAATGTTTTCACCTTGATGTATCTCCTTTGTTTATTCCAATCACTGGAATATGAATTGTTCTTACAGTTCCTCTTGTGTGTGGGAAACTTCTTTGGCTCTGCTCAAGATTCAGAATGGAAAGATTATCAAACAGGAGCAAAGAAAGGTAAGGAAAATGACTGCCCAATAGGATCTGTGGCCTTTGCAACTGACAGTTGGTCATGTAGTAGAATCTTTTTCACAAATCTGTCACTGCAGCTTAGACCTCATTTTTGTTTACATAATTAGCCTATGTCTGGACTGTATCACTTGAGGAATTGGCTTGCTGATTCTTCTATAACAGCGGTTCTCAACCTATGGGTCGCGACCCCATTTGGGTCGATCAACCATTTCTCGGGGGTCGCCAAACAAGGTGATCCGCCATTTTTCCCCCTTGGCGGCGCTGCGCATGGGGGCGCCGCGCCACGCATGGGGGAGGCGCCGCGCATGCACGGCACGTTTGTGTGACGGGGGTCGCCGTCACACAAACGTTGAGAAGCACTGTTCTATAACAAATGAAAATTCTTCACAATAGGAAGTTTGACAAGGAGAAATATTGATATTTGTATACCAAAGCCAATTCAGATAAATTCTCTTTAATATTTCTATAATGTACTTTATCCCATGTTTCTGAACCAAAATATTTCTCTTCTATTCCCTACTCCCACTGATACTTTGATCACAAATTAAATGTGCATACTGCTGGTTTTCATATCAAAATAAACATCTTATTACTTTAATGTAATGTGTATTACATAACATTTTACATAAGGGGTGTCAAACTGCCGGCCCATGGGCTAGACGCATCCAGAAGCCGCGCCTACCCCATTGCTGGCAATGGCAAAACGTCGCAAGTTTGACATGTCTGTCCTACATGTTTACCTACAATTTTGTTATTAAGCTACTTAGAAGCTCACAGAGTATATACAATCTCAAAAGTAGAAATGTTTCAATTTGATTCAGGCAAAATTATGACTATATCAGATACACCAAGAAATAAAACAGCATATTTCTGCACCCACTGGAAATGAAACATCAGTTGACTTCTGTGCCCCAGGAAAAATAGAGAAAACCCTTTTAAAATAGAACCCTTATATGTTTGTAGTGAACAGAATTATACAATAGTTATATATTTGTGTTGTGTTACTGTTCAAAAATACAGAAGGGATGCTTTTAAATAGCAGGTAACGGAAAATCCTCACTATCATTTGCACGAAGCACAAAAATTCTTCTTTACTGCTCTACAGCATATACTGGAATGGCAAGAAATTTCTTAAAATAAAAATTAATGTCATGTAAAATAAAACTTTGACTTAAAACATTTTGCTCGTACTAAATAGAATACATTTCTGTTATTATTTTTTTCTTTAATTGTACTTTTGGGGAAATTCTATTTTAGCTCCTCTACAGACATACGTGTTGGGTGCCAATAATGATGAAACCGTGCATTATTTTCCTGATATCAGCGGATGTGAACTAGCTGAGAACATCACTTATCTAGGTAACCTGAAAGGTTTTTTTTTTATGAGTTAAGTTCGGGGGTATAAATGTGAAACCACTGAAGTTGGAATTTCTGCTTTCTCCAAGTTTCTCATATAAGCTTCTTGTGGTAACATGATAGACATTTGCTAGGCATAGCTAAGCATTAGCTCATATGATTCCCAATGTTAAAGGTTAAGCCCCTAGGACAGGGGTGTCAAACTCGCAAGGTCACATCACGTGTCGCGACATATCGCAACTTTTTTTCCATTGCCAGCAATGGAGTGGGCACGGTTTCGCTATGATGCATCCGGCCCATAGGCTGACAGTTTGACAGCCCCACCCTTGGAGGTAAGAAAGAGCTGATTGTTGCTGGGATTCTCACTATCCTTGACTAACTTCCTCTTTGTTTAAATAATGTCCTTTTTTTAAACATCAGAATGTGAATTTTCTGAGGTATCCACAATTGTTTCCTCATTTCCCCCAAACAGAGTGAGACATCTATTCATTGTAGTTTTGTCTAGCTTTTATTTGCAGTTTGGAAAACTGCTGGCATCTGTTCATGCATTGGAAATTGTAAGGAACAAAAGACATTTTGTTTTATTTATTTTTTCATTCATATTTTTATACTGCCCAATGAAAAACAGAATATACAAATTAACATTAATTTGTTAATACTAAAAAAATTATAAAAGGCACAAATAGAATAAAAAGATTAGGCAGAAGGGAGTTGTTAATTACCTAGGAGCCACCTTAATGTTTTGCCAGTCCCCTAGTGTCCCCAAGCCTGCTGACACAGCCAGGTCTTAAGGGACCTCCAGAAAGCTAAAAGGAATGAGGCCAGCCTATTTCAGGGGAAGAGATGTTCCATAAAGTGGGAGCCACAGCAAAAAAGGCCCATCAAATGAAATACCCTAACCCTAGTCATGGGACCCACAATAGATGTAATCTGATAGAGGTAGTGCTTCAGATGTAATCTGATAGAAGTAGTGCTTCAGCCCCATGCCGTGTAGGATTTTAAAGATCAAAACCACTAACTTTAATTCAGTGTGGAAAATGTAGCTCACAGAACTGAGGTGTAACATTTTTGTGTGCTTCCTTGACTAGCTCCCCTTTCTTATGTTCAGGGTGGAGATGGACGTAAGGCTTAGGTTCATCTAATCTTGCAACTCCCAATTCGTTCTTAAGAAGAAAAAATGTGATATTTCTTCAATCTTTTCTCTGTTTGACTTTTTATGTATGATAGACTGCCACTGAATTTAAATGTTATGCTACACCAGAGCACAAGACCGTTGAAAGATGTGTGAATCTAGCCACTGACACATTCACATGCATCTTCTGTAAAGACTGGGCAAGGGGCAGTTCATATCTTTCAGCACAAAACAGAGATCCTCCTGTATCAATTAAAATACATAGTTTGTAACCATGTATTGTTTGCATTTGAGTGTGCAATATGTACGATCTGGAGCCATTGTTGAAGCATGTTTCCTACAAATTCTCTGGCCTGAATTATGTTCCATTATATGCATAGGACGCAAAGGTGTCTTCAGCGGAGCTTCAGGACTTCAGATTGCTTATCTCAGTGGAGCTGAATCCACAGAAGATCCAGCTCCTGCACATTGTTTTTGTGCTAAGGATGTGACTGATCTCAAGACTTCCTTGCAATCCACCTCAGAATTCAAAGGTGTAGACATCTTGCTCACCTCTTGTTGGCCCAAAGGGGTAGAGATCTTTGGCAACAGCCCAGTAAGTAGTACATTGGAAAGGAAAAGGAATTGTATGATAGGATTTATGTCTTGCACAAAGACTCATCATCTGCAGCTGGAATGTACCAGATTGGCAGTGAAAGTAACTTTGATCTTTAGCATAAACCCAGTAGAAAAAACCGATTGTAAACTAAAGAATGAAACAATAAAATATATTAATAATAACCCATGGTGAAATATAAGAATACTAAGTGCAAATCAGGACAAGAATATAGGAAAACTATTACTGTTCTCATAGGAACTTTTAAAGAGAGGTTTTTCCTTTTTGAGAAGTCCAATACCCACTCTGTTGTTTATTTAGAAGAGCTGGGAAGACTTGCCTCTTCATCCAGGCTGTGGCAAGGAAGAGTGAGATCACTTAGTATATCGTGCTTGCATTCTTATTATTATTAGATTTTTATTCCATCTATCTACTTCTTCCTCCCTCCTCCCTGTAGGTGTGTGTAAAAATAAAAAGGCAGCCAGCATACCAAATTCTCTTGCCTCCTCTTTTCCTCACAACAACCCTGTGAACTGGGTTGAATTAAGAGAAAGTGACTGACTGAAAGTCACCCAACTGGTTTTCTTGCCTAAGTGAATGTAGAACTCACAGTCTCCTGGTTTCTAGGCCAAACTGGCTTTATCATTTATGTGTTATTGATCTGAATGTAATTTCTTTGATTGATTGTTGTGAGCCACCCAGAGTCAGGCAGGACACCAGTTTAATAAGTTATTATTTGATTTAGACCAGGGCTTTTCAACCAGTGGTACATTGGCACCTGGCAGGTGGTATGCGACCATCCTAGAAAATGGTAGCGGGGGAGGGGAATGAGCTGAACTGGTGGCAGCATCGCACAAGCCTGAGCGAGAAATGGCTGGAGCTGCAGGGCTGTCAGGGCTCAGCGGAAGCGCCAGGATCAGCGCCAGGCTCCAGCTGGAGCTTGGCGCTGATCCTGGCGCTTCTGCTAAGCCCTGAAGAAGCACCAATCAGCTGGAAAGCAGCACTGATCCTGACGTTTCTGCTGAGCCCAGAAGAAGCGCCGATCAGCTGGAATGTTGCAGCATCTCCAGGGTCTTGTGATTTACATTCAGATGCTTGGCAACTGATTCATATTTATGACAGTCACAGTGTCCCAGGGTCATGTGAAGTGACCAAAACCTGCTGCAACCACTCAGCAGACGGGGGGGGGATAAAAACCAAACACCCCCCACCCCACCCCCGCTGCCAATCCTCAACAGAAATGCTCAGAACAATGTAAACCTTGACAGGAGGAAGAGCGTGGCTGGGCGGGCAGGCAGGTGTCTTGCTCAGCTGTGGCTTGGGGGGCACTTTTTTCAGTGCCATTGCAACTTCGAACAGTCACTAAGTGAACTGTTTTAAGTCGAGGACTACCTGTACTTTATCACTTTGCTTCTTTTGGGGGGGGGTCATCAAGTTTTTGACACTTTACTAGGCGACTGGTGGTACTAGGATGTTGCCATATCCTAAAAGTGGTACAATGGGTGAAAAGGTTGAAAAGCCCTGATTTAGACCATGGAAGCATTATTGATATATTGTCTATATATAAATCCACTGTAAATAAAAATTAAATAAATTTGTGTGGGGGTTTGTTTTTTTACAGGGAGATGTGAACTCTAAGAAATGTGGTTCAGGGTTAGTATCTTTACTAGCTGCAAGTTTAAAGCCCAGATACCATTTTGCTGGTCTTCAGAAAATCAATTATGAAAGGCTTCCTTATAGGTATGTGAATCCTTGAGTAATAACTGCTGTAGCCAGTAAACCCATTTCTAAAACTGCAGCCAAGTTGTCTCAGTACATTTGTTAATGAAGTAATTTGCATAAATATAAGAGCACGAAAAAAGATAAGCTAGATCAAATCAAATCCCATCATATATTCTGTTCCCACAGTGACTAACTGCAAGTAGCACCAACTGCAATTGCAACCAGAATTTCCCTTGGTAAGCAAGGCAGTTGTTAAGTGAGTTGCACCTGGTTTTGTGACTGTGTTTGCCATAGTTTTGAAGTGAATTACTTACAAGTGAATTGTTATGTGAATCATGCAGTCAATAAATAAATCTGGCTTTCTTCTTCTGCCCCCCCCCAATTGTTATCTGGCTGGCAAGTTCACAGATGGCTATCACATGACCTCAAGTTAGTACAACTGTCATAAATGCATGCCAATTCCCAAGTGCCTGAATTTAGATCACGTAGCTGTGGGAATGCTACGACAGTGCAAGGACCTGGCGTAAGTTTTTCATTGGTTGCTAAATGAATGCTTGTAAGTCAAGAAGTACTGTAATTACTTATAGAAAACCCATAAGCAAGACCAGAACATGCCAAACCTTTCAGTCATAACCCAGGAATCTGCCATATGAAAACATGCCTCTGATATTGGAGATAATATATAGTTACAAATAGTAACTTTTTATAGTTTTGCCCTCCATTCTTCTCATAAACAACTTTTTATGGAATTTGTACAAACTACATGGACAATTTTAACTGAAGTTCATGTTGCACACATGTTATACAGACTGAAGCTTCCAGAAACAAACAGAATTTTTGTGGGAAAGTTGTTGCATCTGTTTTCTTCAAGGCAATTGAATATCTTCCAGATCAGGGGATGTTTTCTAAAATCTGTGCAAAATTCTTTCTACAGGAACCATGCTGTTCTTCAAGAATCCGCACAACATGTCAGCAGATTCATCGCTCTGGCCGATGTTGGCAACACTGACAAGAGAAAGGTGAACAGAGACTTTTTTTGCCTTTTCATACATGAACCGAACAGAGGAATAATCAGGTTGTTTACAAGCTGATATATTTCTTGGCCTAAGCAGCACAGCTTAATTTTGGTCAAGAAATTTAACTACAATAATACTTCCATTAAAGCAAGCCCATAAGTTGCTTTACATTTGATGTTTTGCATTGAAAGATGAGATAATTCTTTAATTGTTAATTTCTTTTTTTTTTAACTGCTTTATTGGCTTTCATATATTTTGTCTCACAGATCACAAAGCCCACAGGTTTATGCAGGAGTATCCAATATATAAGGCCTTCTGAGCATATTGGAAATATAGGCAAAAAGTTATATGCTCACAAAAAGTTATATGTTTAGCATAGCCAGTAGGCACATTCCCTACCAATCCCTCCCTTGGTATGGCCAGCCTCTCTTGCAGGTCCCCTACAGTCTTTCCTAGTATCCCTTGTGAACTGTCAACTGCCTCTGCTACTTTGGTACTTCTCTCATTTTGCTGTGATATGATTTGCTAATTGCAGTGGCTTGACTCATGAAATCTGCTAAGCCAAAACCAAATTGACTATATGCCTCGTGGCAATGTGCAAATAAATACAGCTATTTTAGTTGGTACAATTTGCTGCATATGGCTGGTCCTACCCTTTTGACGTGTGTGTATGTGTGTCTACATCTTTTGTAACTTTGTTATAAAAGCCATGTGATAATACACAATTTTCATTGTTTGCATGAGAAAATGCATACTTTGATCCTCTGGTTTTAGAAAGTGCTTAACCATTAAACAATACCCTGCAGGTTTTTTGCTGTAGCTCTGTTCCTGTTTTGTGATTCTTTTCAGTATCTCTACGCATTCAGCATTCTTCCAATGAATTCAATGGATCCTGCAGAACTCATCAAACAGCCCCAAGATACCACCGAGAACCCATACCGAAAGCCTGGGGATGGAGGTTTTGCTTATGAGTTACCAGATGCAAAGGTAGAAGGATTCAGCATTCATATTTTCCAGTCTCTTAGGCCTGCTGAACTTGTAATACAGTTTTGGAGTGGTCTGGAATAGTTACACCCTGCCACTGTCTCTGATGAATGCATTCCAGTTCTGGTATCATCCTCTTAGATCAAACATGTCAAACACAAGGCTGCGGGCTGCATCCGGCCTGCCCTGTGGTTCCGTCTGGCCCTGGGATCTGCTCTGGAAACAATGAAGGACCGGCCTGCGGCACTTCGACCCAGCCCAGGCCAACCAGGCACTGATCTACAACCTGGTGCCAGTTATCAAAGCCAGAACATGCTCAGCCTTAGATCCAGGGAACAGCCCTGGAACCAGCGACAGGCATCCCCGCCCCCCCCCCCCCCCCGGGCGCACACGCAAGCAGAGTCTGGCATCCCTGCTGGCTGTCTTGACTCGCAGGCTGACTTTACCCAGGACACCAGCACTGGTCATTTCCTGTGCGCATACCCAGGGAATGGGGCAGAGGTAGCGGGGCAGCTCCTCACTGGTTCCAGGGCTACCCCATGAATCTAAGGCTGAGCGCGTTCTGGCTTTGATGGACGCAACCAGATTGTAGATCAGCGTCACCGCCACCACCACCACCCCCAGCACCTCCATGGCCTGCTGGCTGACCTAGCCTCACAGCCACAAGGTTTCCCTTTCACTGAGACCAGCCCTGCCCATGTGGAATAGCGACAGCCAGCAGCAGCATGACACCGGCGGTGCTGGCAATCTCGCCCCGTCCCATCACCCCTTCCTGAGCACGAAGGAAGGAAAGAGATGAGAAGGAGAAGGAAGGAACGGAGGGAGGGAGAGAAAAGGGGAGGAACGGATGAAGGAAGGAAGAGAGGGAGGGAGGGTAGAGAGGCAATTTGGTTGGAGATGCCCAGTTCACACAGTTCTGCTTCAATCCTGAATCCATTCAGTTGGGCTCAGAGGAAAGGAGAAAAGGAAAGAGGAAAGACAAACAAAAAGAAGGAAAGAGGGTAAGGAAGACGAAGGAAAGGAGAATGAAGAGGGAAGGAAAAAGAAGAAAAGGGGAGAGGAAGATTATAATGAGAGGGAGGAAGGGTCTGAGCGAAGTCCCGCCATAGCACTTGGCCACAAGCAGCCCTGTTGCCCTTTCGCCATCCCCTTGTCCCCTCCTCCTGACCTCTCCTGGTGGTCTCCCATCCTATCGCTGAGGATGCTTTGGTTACATAGCCGGGTCTCCTCGCAGGGAGAGGGAGTGGGCTTCCCTCTGACCCACACATTTTGCCCTTCCACACACACACCATGAGCAACTTGGCCAAGGAGAGTGAGCCAACCAGCAGCAGCCTTGAGGTGGAGGTAAGCGCAGCCGGGCACCCCCTTGGGAAAGGCTGGACTGGGCGCTTGCCCTCCACTGTCCGGGGCTCCGGGCAGCCTGCATCACCGGGGGTCCTCTGCATGGCTTGAGAGGGACAGCAAGGCTCTTCTGGTAGACAAGGGTATAGTGCTCATCCTGGTCTCACTTTCCTCGGCTGGAGACAATGGATTCCCCCCCCCAGCCCTGCCCAGGCCACCACAGGCGCCCCCAGACACGAGCGACGTTGAGCTGGCCACGCCCACCCTGGCCCCCCAAGGTCAACCACAATCGTGATGCAGCCCTCAATGAAATGGCATTTGACACCCGTCTTAGAAGTGTACAACTTTCTTTAATGAATCACGCCTCTTCTGCTGGACATTGGTAGGACCATGTAACATTTGGAGTAGATCTATGGCTGGATGCATCATCACAAACCAGACACACTTTCCCATTTCCTTTCCTCTTCTACATAGCACTGATTTTCCCTCCTTTTTCGGTTAATTAGTTGATCGTAGGCAATTTTCCAAATTTCCTTAAAAATTTTGGATTTATAACATTCCTTAGAAATAAGAAAAGCTACGCTCATTCTTTCTTTCATTTCACACACATACATATGCTTCTTTTGTATTTGGGACTCCTCATGTTCCAGCTGCTTTTTAAAAAGAGCTTTAATCCAGATGTGTAACATGTCAAACTGAAATACACATAAAAACATTTTTTGGGGGGGGGGGATTGTCCTTTGCCCTAACAGCCAATTTTGCTTTGCTTCCAAAGGAGGAGGCTGCTAGCCAATTTTTTTTCGATTTAAGCAACAAGCCTAAAGGAAAGAAACGTCCTATGAAAGGAGAAGAAAGACAGCCACCTAAGCGGTCACCTTTCAAGCCCCGTGAGTACCAGACTCATTTATCTTTTAAATATTGAGCAAGAAAGAGCACAGGGTTACAAATTGGCCCAAACCAAAGTTGGCTACATAGTTTTCATTTGTTTCATTTGTATTTATTTTGAAACTGCTCAGGGAGACCATCAGATTTAATACATTTGCAGAAAACAACTAAGGTACTTGGAAAAGTTCAAAATGACTGACCTCACTGTATTGGTAAAAGACTTTGATTCTATTGGTATTATTATTGATCTGAGACAAACTGTTTGCTGTACATTGAGAGATATTATCTAGGACGGATCTGCAACCTTAAACACTCAAAGAGCCACTTGGACCCGTTTCCCAGAGAAAAGAAAACACTGGGAGCTGCAAAACTTGTGTGTGCACGTGTGCACACACAAGGGGTGGGAAGCTTGATTGAAGAATTTAATTAAAAAGAAATAGAGGCTGCTGTGCATGAGTTCTCTCTGTCTCTTTCCTCTCTCTCTCTTTCTCTATCTCCCTCTCTTTCTCTCTCTCGCTTTCTTTCCTCTCTCTCTCTTTCTCTATCTCCCTCTCTTTCTCTCTCTTGCTTTCTTTCCTCTCCCTCCTCTTTTTCCTCTCCCCTCTTTCTCTTTTTTCTCTCTCTCCCTCTCTCTTTTTCTCTCTCTTCTTCCTCTCGCTTTCCTCTCTCTCTCCCTCTCTCTTTCTCTCTCTTTCCTCTTTTCCCTCTCTCGCTCTCTTTCCTCTCCCCTCTCCTTCTTTCTTTTTCTCTCTCCCTCTCTCCAATTCCTCATCAATATTTGACTCTTTATTTTTCAAAAAAATGATTTATATTTAACACATTAGCCTCCTTGATCACCAATGGGAAGGCGCGGTGTGAATTCTGCGCATGAGCTGCGGAAATTCAGACACTGGCATCCTCAAAGCTCTCGCCGCTTCCTCGCTCGGGGCGCACCACTGCTTTATGTGAGCGTTCAACTTTGCGGCTCAGCTAAACTGTTCAGCTGCGGTGGGCCGCAGTTCCCATCAGATTCAGGAAGCCTGGGTGATGGAAACCAGCTGAAGCAATCCGGCTGGCCCAGGGTCAGGCTGGCTGTCCAAGGTCCCGTCCAACATTATTACTACTACTATTATTATTAACGAACATGTTTTTTGAGTAATTTCCAAGCCTCGGACTTCTGCTTTATTCGTCTCTGTTTGTCAAAACTTTGACACTGAGTTTCTGATATCTATTTTCTCTGATTTTAAAGCATTGCCAACAGCTGCCTGCTGGTTTTGTCTTGCCAGCCCAGATGTTGAGAAGCATTTAGTGGTGACCATTGGCACTCATGTAAGTATCTATTTTCCAATATCTATGCTTTAAAGATGAGAGGGCTAAATTATACATAATACAAATATTCAAAATTTACAGTAGATTTGGACTTCATTGGAAATGTATAGAGAACATCAGGGGCAGCTCTTTCGAATATTGTTCATTCATCAAACTGATGTGAAATAGAGCACTTGTTTTTCATTCATAAAAATTATTCATAATACATGTTTCTTGTCACTATTAATCAGATGTTGACAATCTCTCTTTTTCCGCAATTCTTTTATTATCGTTTGGCAACATCCTGCCAATCTTCATTGCGTTTAGCAGTAATCAGTTTTCTCTCTAGTTCTTTTGTCTACAAAGTGGCATAAAAACATCTAATAATGACTTTTTAGTAGTTATCTCTGACTGTAATTTTTGTTTCTTTGCGAGTGGAAAGATTCGGACAACATTTCAGAATGTCAATACTGTTCCTATCAGTTTAACATTAATAGTATGAAGAGATTGGCTAGGGGAGGAGTAGGCAACCTCGGCTCTTATGACTCGTGGACTTCAACTCCCAGAATTCCTGAGCCAGCCATGCTGGCTCAGAAATTCTGGGAGTTGAAGTCCACGAGTCATAAAAGAGCCAAGGTTGCCTACCCCTGGGCTAGGAAGTGCTAATGATTCTCATCGGCTGTTTCTTGGGTTCTTTTCCTAGTGCTACCTTGCCCTTGCCAAAGGGGGCTTGTCACCTGATCATGTCCTTATTTTGCCCATTGGACACTATCAGTCAATGGTCGAGCTTGGTTCAGAAGCAGTGGAAGAAGTTGATCAGTACAAGTCTGTGCTGAAAAAATTATTCAAAGCCAAAGGAAAAAGGTGTGTGATTTATGAAAGGAATTATAGGAGTCAACACCTCCAGCTCCAGGTGAGGCATTTCTGTCTTTGCAGGATGTTTTTAACAGCAACACTTAGTGAAAATTTCTGTATATTTTGCATATGATTTGGTGATTTTAACAGCACTAAGAGCCACAGAATATCCTTTTCTTCAGTATAAACTTTATCTGTACATTCTCTTCATAGACAGTGTTCTGCTTATACCACCATGTTTTTCTAGTGATATATTGTGGTAGTTTCTATCTGGCTGACCAGAAACAGTATCTGAACAGCATCTGGCTACCACAGAGAATATAAGTGAGGCAAGAAAACTGAGGATTCCAGAAGAAAAACAAATCCTCAGTACTTCATCTCCCACAGCCGATTTTCACATTCATAAGTTTAAGACTGCAAGAGAGGCATTTGCCTTTCATCATGATGATAATCTTTGCTGAGGGCCCTCTTTGGTCCCAATGATGGAGCTCCTAATTTGCCTTAAATATTGCTTTTTTAACTTCCTTTTTTCATTCCTAAGTGCTGTGAAAATATTCTTTTAGGTTGTTCCTGTACCCCAGACCTGTTGTAGTACTGAAGACATTAAGGAAGCCTTCATAAGTCAAGCAGAAGAACGTCACATTGAATTATTAGAGATACCAGAACATTCAGCTCTCAAACAAGTAATAGTTAAGCCATTGCTTCCTTTGTTTATATCAGAGTGTTGCTGCAAGGGATTCTGGGAATGCAGGAGTTGGATCTCAACCTAGCATGTTCTTTTATGTGCCCTTTCCTTTTATTTGTAAGCAGATGGCAGGATATTGAGTCAGCAACTTCAATGTGTATTTTTATTACATGTTTTACATACTATCAGTGAGGGTTTCCTGCAGCAGGCTTCCGCAGTCTGAGCACTCTCTAGCAGCATGGTCCTCAGTTCCAAATGTTCAGCCACAGCTATTGTCACTGGCTGGTAATTCTTGCAGTTAAAACTACATACATTTAAAGAAAACCAAATTAAAAATAGCCCTTTCACAACACTCCTTGCACATGTTTTTCTGTAATTTAACTATCCTTTTTTTCTCACAAAGAGCATCTTGACAGTATATCTAAATGTATCCAGAATAACGAATACAAAATTACCAGCATCACTTTTTTAAAATATACATAAACTTCAGTTCCTGCATGTATTTGTTGTAACTTGTCAAAAGTCGCCCTTTTAAAAACACCTATGAGTTTGCAGAAAAGGAATTATAGCCTTAATCCAGTTTTATCACATCCTGAATGATATGAATGAAAAATTGCTTACTGAGGAAAAATCCAGCTGTATCACAACTTTGGCACTTGCTTTCCTTTTCCTGGCAGCCTAGTAAACATGCTTCAGAGATCATGTATTTTTTTTTTTGTCATCCACACAGATTCTTCTTTGGAAGGGAATGGTCAAAATATTGCTACATGGAAATGCTTCTTGTTTTTCAGATAATTCAGCCAGGGACACCGTATTTTTATGTTGAACTTGATAACGGAGAGAAACTCTTCCATCGTATTAGCAAAAACTTTCCCTTGCAGTTTGGAAGGTTAGTTTATTCTACTTGACCTTATTTAATCTCTCTTTTTTTTTAATTGAAAAAAAAATGTGTGGTTTAAATAGCTACCTAAGTCACTGATTGACTCTGGGCAGCTTACATTTGGATGGAAACATAAAAAACATAGGAAATAAAAGCAAAGCACAATAAACATCCAGAAGCTGAAAAAAGAATAACAAAAAGATTATAGAATAATCAAGACCAACTATTTCATAGACCAGAGGTCCCCAACCTTTTGGGCACCAGGGACTAGTTCTATGGAGAAAGGTTTTTCCACGGACTGGAGAGTGTGTGGTTTTGTGTGCTGCCTGCATCCCATGATTGAGGCTTTGCTTGTTTGTGCAGACTGGTTGCTGGCATGCCGTGGTCCAGTACCAGTCCATGGACTCGTGGTTGGGGACCCCTGTGATAGACCATTCAGAAGCCCGTAGCTCTGGATTTTGCCCATCAAATGGAATGAAAGAGTGTTGTAAAGACAAGCTGTAGCTTTATAGTTGCTAACTCCTGTCTTTGTTCTCAGTTGGGGTTACATCACCATTTTTTCCCTTCGGCGTCTGTTCCTCCTTGTTAGGTTTCATTTACCCCTCCGCATGATCCTCAAGTAGAGACATAGATATCCAGAAAATCAAGTGGCTTTTGGAATATATGGCTAAGCAGTCGTCAGTATTGGGAACTTGGAACACTATGACAGAGTAACACTAGTTTGTATTCTGCTATTTTCCATAGGGAGGTGCTGGCCAGTGAGGTCATCCTTGGCATGCCTGAGCGGGCAGACTGGAGAAGCTGCCAGACAGGACGGGACGAAGAAACTGCTGCAGCCCAAGACTTCCGTCAAGCCTTTGAACCCTTTGATTTTGCCCAGTCGGATTGAGTATCTGAATGGAAGTGGGAAAGCTCTCTTGAACAGCTTTCCTTTGAAGCTTCCTGTCCAGCCAGAGGAATTTTGCGTGGGTTGGAGTTCACCTTTCCTGCTGGCTAGGTCATGAAGGAAGGCCTTTTATATGACGGGAACCAGTGCTTCCAATGAAGATTATTTATGAAGTCTTGCTGGTCTACAATTCGGGTCTCATTTTGTCTGCACTTACTGACCTGTGGCTTCCAGAAGGCCTTCAGAAGAGGGACATGCAAAAGATTTTCTTTTGCAGCTGACCTCTCTGTTCCAGCCAGTGAGTTCAGGAGCTATGAGTCCTCCTAGATTGGGGAGTTAGTTTAAATCCTCTGACATTGGAGGTAGATTTGCATAGTGTGCATCACACAGTACCCCAAGTTCTTGTGCTCTGGCAGTAAATCACTACTATCCAGGTCATGCACAAAAAGAGAAGAATACAATCTTTGAAAGCAGTGGAAGCCTCCGCACTCTGCTGTATAAATGGAGAGGGAGGGTGAGAAGGCTAGTGCTGGCTGCAAACTGATTGTGCAAAGGGGAAAAAAAACATGCACAGGCAAGGAGCATTTGACAATGTTTTATGAAAATAAGGGAAGTCAGATGTGCAATGCAGATAAGTAATCACTGATGACTCAAGTTTTCTGTTCATTTCCAAATTTAACTGTCAGATGGTTGGGATTTTAAATAACTACATATATATTGGGAGAGTGAGAGAGAGAGATTGTGAATTGTAATGTCAAGCAAACTACTGGCTTAATGAACAGACTTGGAGAATGGTTAAAATATTTTAATGGTTTGGTCAAATGAATATTTTGAATGAGAATGTGATTTTTTTTATATGTAAAAAGTATTTTTTTATATGTGAAATATTTTCTTGTCATGAGCTGCTGGTTAGCTTTATCATCCGGGAATACAGTCATCTATATGAGCTCAGTTAAACTTTTCAACAAATCTGATACTTTTGAGGAAGTGATCGTGATTTATGGGGAAATTATAAGATCTCATATATTACAGTAATAGAGTCATAAGGGGTCCGTTTCTTATGGTTTGCTTACAAATTCTCAAATATGACAAAGCAGCCTTTTAATTTACTTCTTTCAGTAACTTCCTTGGACACCTTATTCAGTCTAAAAATCCAAATTAAAGTTTCTCCAATAAATGGCAATGTGGTCTTGTAGCATCCAGTGAAGGAATGCTTCTTTCTAATTAATTGGTTTCATTGTTGAACTGTTCCTAATGTTAAAGCATTCAGCCAAAACGAGCTTATAGACATTGGGGGTGATATGCTCATATTTCAATTAAGGCAGAAGTTAAAATGATCTACTCACTGGTCTTCTCCAAAAGTTTTGAACTATCGTGCTGGAAGAAGCATATAGGTAGTCCTCGACTTATAACAGTTCATTTAGTGATGATTCGAAGTTACAGTGGCACTGAAAAATGTGACATATGACTATTTTTCACACTTACGACCATTGCAGCATCCCCATAGCCACATGATCCAAATTTAGACACGTTGGCAACATATTTGTGATGGTTGCATGTCATAAGTGGAACCTTCTGACAAACAAAGTGAGTTATGCAATATTTTGCATAGAAATACTTTAGTGTGGATGCAAGGAGAAACTTTCAGTTCTTTGCAACATTTGCCATTGGAATCATAGCAGTACACACCTGATGTTGGTACACAAAAATTTTGTTATAAGATGAAAGGACAAGTGTTACATATACTATTAATCAAACCGTATATATCAGGGGTGTCAAACTCGCAACGTCACGTGACATGTCACGACATATCGCAACTTTTTTTCCATTGCCGGCAATGGGGTGGGCGCGGTTTTGCCATAACGCATCCGGCCCATGGGCTGGCAGTTTGACACCCCTGATATATACCAAGATTTTTTAAAATTGAGCAATATTCTCCCCACCCTGCTTTGAAACTAAGACATGACAACTCACCACCATTTCACCATATACTTTAAATTGAGTAATAAGTATTTTTCCTCTTGTAAAAAAAAAAAGATGTGGAGAGAGGAAGTGCTGGCTAGCTGCTAATTAGGATTGGTTTTCTCCTCAACTATTTTGATCAGCCAGCGGGAGCACAGTGCAGTTCAAATGGATAATGAAGCGGATACCACAAGGGCATTTGTGCAGCAGGATGGAAATATTTCTGATAGTTTGGAGGATGAATCTGGCAGCTATGTAAACAAGTTAAAAGTTAGTTGGGAAGTCTAGGAATCCTGTAAGGATATCATACTCTTGTTTTCTGTTATGAAAGTCTTAAAACCAGTACTGTGTATTTTTCTAGTGCACCTTAATTCTCTTCATTTTTGTTTCTTGAAGAAGGTGTTGCTCATTTTGTAGCACTTGGACTCCAGAGTATGAAATCACATTAACCATTAGATCATATGACCCATTTAGAAGATAGTTCTTTCCAGGAGTTCCAACTTTTGAACAGGGGGAAAAAAGACCTTTGAAAGCAGAGAAACACAATTAATAGCTGCAGGAAATAAAAGATCTTGGGGGTGTATGAAAGCAAAATGAGAGATGGAGCAGAATGGGGAAGCATAAAGGTGAACTATAAGTCACTCATTTTAATGGAAGCAAGGTTCTGCTGGGTCTAGTTTGATTATGAAGTGTTATGCTTCAGTGCCCTCATTTTTATGCATACAACATTGTAAGTTTTGTAGGAATTCCATGTATTTGTAGCTGTTGGATCAAACTACATACTCAAAGCTTCTCTCACAAAAGCAGGAAACTTACAGAGGACTCTGAGCTGGCAAAAGATGTAAGACCTGTACGTGCAGCATGTACTACTGGCGGGAACGCAATCAGGAGGAGAGAGACTTTACTTTCTTTTCAGACAGACACCAATCCTTTTCTAGAATTGATTTTTTCTTGATTACAACTGATTTATACTTTAGGGTAAAGAATGCTAAGATTTTTCCTAGGACTTTGACGGACCACAGTCCAGTTTGGATGGAGCTGGCGGATGAAAAAGAGGAGAGGAGATCGTGGAGGATTAATGAGAACTTATTTAGACAAGAAAAGAATGTTCAAAAATTAAAGGAGCATTTAAAGGATTATTTTGTTTTAAATATGCATAAGGGAACATCAATGTCAATGGTATGGGATGCAGGTAAAGCCTTCATGCGTGGGATCTTGATACAAATGAATAATACTCACAGACAAAAGCAGATTCAGAAACGTAAGGATTTGGAAGATGAGATTAAATTAAAAGAAAAAATTTTGATTTCAAATCCTACAGATGAAAAGGTTAAAGAATCTATAAAATTGCTTAAATCACAATTTAATATGTTGATGGCTGATCAAACTGCAACTAACTTACTGTATATGAGACAAAATACATTTTGTAATGCTAATAAACCAGGGAGATGGTTGGCTTACCAACTCAGAAAGCAACAGAGACAGAGAATTATAGATAAAATAAATCATAATGGTAAATTGGTATATCAGAAGGAGTTGATTAAGAAATCTTTTTTAGATTATTATCAAAAATTATATAAGAGTACCAAAATACAGGTCTCAGATATAGATAATTATTTAAATGAAGCCAACTTCCCTAAATTAACAGAAGATCAGAAACAAGAAATTAATAGTTCAATTATTAATGAGGAAATTGAGACAGTGATTAAAGAATTAAAATTAGGTAAAGCACCGGGTACGGATGGTTTGACATCTATTTATTATAAAACTTTGGTACAAGAGATGATTCAACCTTTAAGACAGCTTTTTAATAATATATTACAGGGTTTAGAGACTCCCCCGTCATGGGGCAGAGCCTTTATATCTTTAATTCCAAAAGAAGATCAAGATCTTACTCTACCAAAGAATTATAGACCTATATCTCTTTTAAATGTAGATTATAAGATTTTTGTAAAAATATTAGCTAATAGGCTTATGAGGGTTTTGTGTCAGATTATACATAAGGATCAAACGGGTTTTATAACTGGAAGGCATATGAAGAATAATGTCAGACAAATTATTAACTTATTAGAATATCTAGATAAAAATAATCAAGTCTCTGCAGGATTGATATTTCTAGATGCTGAGAAAGCTTTTGACCAATTGAATTGGCAATTTATGTTAAGACTAATCGATAAAATGAAAAATGGGGGCTTGTCAGAGGTTTTTACAATAGAAAAGGGGACCAGACAGGGATGTCCATTGTCACCTTTGCTGTTTGTTTTAACTTTGGAAATATTGTTGATTAAAATTCGAGAATCACAGCAAATAAAAGGAATAGAAGTTAACAAAAAAGAATATAAACTAAGAGCTTTTGCAGATGACTTAGTGGTTACCCTGTCCCAACCTACTCACTCTGTAATAGAGTTATTACAATTGATATATCAATATGGACGGGTTTCGGGTTTTAAAATTAATAACAATAAGACTAAAATACTACCCAAAAATATGACTAATATGGATAAGCAGACTTTGGTTAATCTGACAGATTTTGAGGTTGTTGATAAGGTAAAATATTTGGGGGTTACTTTATCTGTCTCTAATGTAAAATTGTATAAAAATAATTATGAAAGGTTGTGGGTCAGGATACAAAGAGACTTGAAAAATTGGGAGAAGTTGCAATTATCTCTTTTGGGAAGAATTGCGGTGATTAAAATGAATGTCCTGCCTAAATTCCTTTTCTTATTTCAAATGATACCTATCTTAAAGAATGAGGTCAATTTAAATGAATGGCAGAAAGGTATCAATAAATTTATCTGGGCGGGGAAAAAACCAAGAGTAAAGCTTAAAATTATACAAGATATTCGTGAGAGAGGTGGACTCAAGGTACCGAATTTGAAATTGTATTATGATGCTGTGGCCTTAACATTAATTAGTGATTGGGTTAACTTAACAAATGTAGAAATACTCCTCTTGGAGGGTTGGGATTTACTTTTTGGATGGCATGCCTATTTAATTTTTAACAAAAAAGTTGACCGGGTTTTTAAATCTCATAAGGATTTCTCTACTTCGGGTTTGGAGGAAATACTACAGAAGTGATTCTAAAATACCATTATGGGCTATACCTTGGCATGCGATAGAGGGGATAAGGAGAGGAGTTAAGATGGATAGTGCTTTTTATTCACAATTGCTTAGATGGGATGGTAAAATTTGGCAGTTAAAATCTTTGGAAGATTTAGCACAAGAAAATATTATATATTCATGGTTTCAGTACAGACAAATAGCGGACAGATGGAAGATAGATCGTAATGTGGGCTGGCTTAGAGAAGATGAAAATTGTGTTAAACAAGTAAAAGATCAAAGACGAACTCATATTAAGAGAATCTATGGGTTGCTAGTAGAATTGGACTCAGAACCAGAATTAATTAAAAAATGTATGATTAAATGGGCACAAAATTTTGGTGAACCAGTTCTACTAGATACCTGGGAAATCATCTGGGTGAGAAATGTTAAATTTACACAAGCCCAGAACTTAAGGGAGAATTTTTATAAAATGTTTTATAGATGGCACCTTGATCCACAAAAAATGTCTCGTATGTATCCCGACTTACAGCCCAAATGTTGGAGATGTGGTTGTTTGGATGCTACTTATTACCATATTTGGTGGTCGTGTAAAAATATAAAAGCCTTTTGGATTAAGATATGGTGGAATATTCAAAGAATTTTTAGAAAGAGGGTAAAATTTACCCCACAATTGTTTCTGCTAGGTATTGTTACCGATTGTGATACTAAGGAGGTTATATTGATGTTAAATTTAATTACAGCCGCAAGGTTGTTAGTAGGGCAATATTGGAAGAAGGAATCTTTGCCTATCTTGCAAGAGTGGTTTTTTAAAGTATCTTATCTGGCAGAAATGGCAAAGATTTCGGCTTTTTTAAAGGATCAGTCACAAGAGAAGTTTTTTGTGGTATGGGAAAAATGGATAGATTTTATACAACATCAGTTGGATATAAAAAAATATTGCTTAGTTTATCAATAATTTATATACAAATTTTAATATTTTATAGATTGTATTATTTTTTCTTTTTCTTTATATGTTTTATTATTTTATTTTCTTATATTTCTTTTCTTCTTTCTCTTTATTTTTCTTTTTTTTAGGTATTTTCTCTTTTTTTTTCTTTAATATTTATCTCTTTATATATATATATATATATATATATTATTGTTAATTATTCTATTAGT